CGTTGCTGCGATGAAGCAAAGAGCAACTTGGAGAGGAAAGGGTTCATTCAGCTTCTGCTTCTTCAACACTATTCATTGTGGGAGGGAGCCAGGACAGGAACTCAAACAGGGCAGGAACCTGGAGGCAGGAACTGATGCAGAGGCCATGGAGCAGTGCTGCTTACTGACTTGTTCTTCATGGCTTTCTCAGTCTACTTTCTTGTATATAGAACCCAGGACCACCTGCCCAGGGGTGGCACCACCCATAATGGACTGGGCCCTTCCCCATCAGTTACTAATTAAGAAATGCCCTATAGGCTTACCTATAATCTGATCTTATGGAGGCTTTTTCTCAATTGAGGTTTCTTCCTGCCCCATAATTCTAACTTGTGTCAAGCTGACATAAAACTAGCCAGCACAACCGTGACTTTCTAGCTTAGATTGTTCTCAGGGAGTTTAGAGAAATGTCTCAGGAGTTAAGAGTACATACTGGCCAGGAATAGTGACGCACACCTTTAGTCTGAGCATTTGAGAAGCAGAGGTAGATGGATCTCATCTCTGTGAGTTCGAGGCCAGCCTGGTCTACAGAGCTAGTTCCAGGATGGCCAGGTCTATACAGAGAAACCCTGTCTTGAAAAACTTAAAAACTTACAACTGCCAGTAACTCTACATGGAGAGGATCCAATGCTCTCTTGGACTCTGGAGGCACCTGCACTCACAAGTGTACCTATGCTTCCCCCATAATTAAAAATATTAAGTAAAATTTTTTAAAAATAATAATAAAATTGCATGTAGGATGTAAGCCCGTGTTCCAGTCTGGATGGCTGCAGCTTGAAAACATAGTGTGCCTGCGTCTTCCCAGCATTCTTTTATGCTGTGGAAGTTTCTTGAAGATATTGTCTACTGACTCCTTTATATGGGCCTCCACCCCTCTCCCCTCAAGCGTACTCTGAATGACTCCAGACGATCTTTCATATTTACCAGAGGAAATACCTGTTCATCACAATTCACACAACAACGCTTAGATACTGGGAGCATGTCACCATACAGCCAC